CATACCGTGGAATGTGCATTAGCGCTCCTGCACACGACGCCGCCTCCGCGCCGCCGCCGCGCCGTCGCCGCGCCCCTACACTGTTCATACGCGCCGCGTAAAGCCCGCCGCCGCGCCGCCACCGCGCCGTCAAAGCATAATTTTACCGGTCCGGCTTTGACGGCGCGGTGGCGGCGCAGCGGCGGCGCGGCAGCGGGCTTCACGCGGCGCGTATAAACAGTGCAAAGGCGCGGGGGCGGCGCGGCGGCGGCGTCGTGTGCAGGAGCGCTTAGACCTTCCACGAGGTGCTGGTAAAAATGTATGTCATATGTTTTAGTTTATTGTCAGTTCGTAGATAGTATATAATACATGATAATAAGTAAGTAATAAAAAGATATTTCACTCTTAGTCAGTCACTAATAAAGAACACATTTCCCCGTCAATATTTCAACTACTCAACTCAATAACATTTCGATCGACTCGTTTAACAGCACACAAATTCATATTGCTAGAAAGACGTACGTCGTACACTTCATCATCAACAGCCCTTTACAGTCCACTGCTGGACTATGAGCCTCCTCCACTATAGTGGAGGGTTTTGCCATAATCTCCACGCTAGGCAGGCGGGTTGGAGATCGCAGTTTAAAAGATTGATGTTTTTCAGAGAGCGCTGCTGCCCATTCTCTGTTTGATGTGTAGTCCCTAAGTCGCCTCTTACGACACCCGCGGGAAGAGTAGGGGTTGGTGACAAATGTATTCTACTCTGCCGTCACCACACGGCTTGAATAAAGTGTACACTTCGTAATAAGTCGTACACTTACCTACACGTAAACGATTTTGCATGGTACCTGGTAAGTTAGTGCCGCGAAGACAAGCTTTTGCGTGTCAAATCGAACGTACCGCACAGTCTTTAAGCTGCACTTATTTATTTGGGAGAATAATGGAAACAACTTTCTATGACCTCACCTTACTGATAATATTGACTTTTAGGCATATTATGTTCGTACCAATATGACTACAGGTTTTTTACTTTAAACGCAGCTACTCGTACATCTGTACGGCTAGCACGAAAAACTTTCGAGTTCAAATCGTTTGCGTACTCGAATCGCATTCAAAAGATTTAGTAAGAAAACTGAACGATATCTGAACGGTGAAGGGGAGTGGCCGACTCGAGATCCGAGGAACGCGGGTTCGAATCCCCCCGCCGCTCGACTATTGTGGTGAGCCCACTCGTAACACAAGCTTATTTAGCTTGACACGAGGGGATAATGGGACTATTAGTAATTTGTGCAATACAAATTGCTAATAATCATTAAAAAAAAACTACAACAACGCCCTTGTGAACGTGTCGTAAAGTGAACTTAGTATGAGATGTGGTTGCACGAAACTTATTTTGAGAATCAAAATTGTCCCGTTATCGTTTAATTCGAAGATTGAGTATCGAATTTTATCGAATAGGTACGCAAACGATTCGAAGACTAAAGTTGTTCATGCTAGAGGTACTGATCATGATCAGCTGACCGAAAACATAGTCTTCGGACTCTTCGAAGCAAATGCCCATATTTTAAGGACTTTTTTTAAATCATCAAGGAAGCTTACATAAAAAAGCTCTTCTAGGTCTTTAAAAAATAAATGAACATAAATCTAGCATAATTGATCATTGCAAAATCCCGCAAAACATCGTACATAATATGAGTCAGAAACAGAATAAAATCACTGATTTTAAGTTAATTTTGTATAAAATAGTAGGTAAGTATTGCTTTTTATAAATTATGAAAATGACAAGTTACAGTTAAAAATTACATAAACCTAACAAACTAGAGGCAAGTAATTAAGTAAGTAATTAATATGAATGTTATTTTATATCTAAATAATTTTGATTATGTAAGCAGTTAGTGCCGATGGAATGGAACTAATGACGCCACTGTCGTCAATGTACTATTATGGTCTAATTTCTCTACAAGCTAAACCTACAATTACGAAATCGGGACAAAGATAACGTTTCAGCCTATTAACAAAATGAACGCATGACCTACATATATTTTGACAGCTGTTTTAATAAGCTACAGTCTACATTTTCACTTCAAGGGAAAATATTTTTATCAACTTACAACATATTATTATATCCGTACCTAAAAGTGATTACGTGTGTAATCACCAAAATAAATACCAAGTATTTAACTTGCTGAACCAATTTGAAAACCACAAAACAGCACGTAACCTTTTGAAGGCTGTTAATGGTTCTTGGAACAAACTCTCATTATATTATTTAGTGATCAAAAATAATAATTTTGTCAACAAAATTGTGTCTTTACTATATCAAATAATATTTTCGGTTACACAGACTCAAAACGCTTTCTGAAACATGTTTTCTTCTCAGTAATAAGATCTTTACCGAACAAAATAATACATATACCTAACAATAAAACATTGTTAAAATGTATCTGGATTCTTTTGAAATGTAAGTGTACAAATCTTACTCGTATTTTAATTTGAAATATTTTGTATCTATGATAGTTTCTTTTCAATCCAAGTATTTATTAAACTCTTTAATACATTCCTAACTACTGAATACTTTATAGAAAGACTACCAGTCTAACCAGACTTTTCAAATAAATAGTGTAGAGTAAAAAGGAAACTTAAAGAAGAATTCAATCTCCATAATCCCTGTGTACGTATATCCAACATAATAAAATAGATTATGTATTAGTTTAGTCTCTCCTTCCCCTAAATTACTAAGGACGGAGTTTCCTAAACTGTGCGTCATGATGACCCATGGGATTGCAGTTTTAGGTCGGCTCTCAATTGACAACACAAAAGTGAAACCGTCAGCTTTAAACTTTAAATCGATTTCGTTAAAGTATTTATTACACGAGCCACGTCCGTGAGTAGGCTGTATCTGTTCCTTATTTATTAGATGCTATTTACGAGCCCCAACCCAACTCAAAATGTGTAATGGGACACTCAAAGCTGTATTTTTGTCTTAAAGAGGTCATCTATGGAAAAGGTTGAAAACCAATGGCAAAGGTCAAGATTGCTGAATGTAATAAAGATACTCTACCTACTTCCCGAGTAAACAGAGGAAAATACACACAGCGACGCTACGCGCAATCTTTAGTACGAGTAATGTTACCAATAATGCGAGTGGGTATGCTTATGCTTGTTAATATGGGTAGGTATATTTCTTGCAACTCATGAAGGCGTGTGAGATTTACTTGTGTGTGTACGTGTACATGCACATAACGACAGTATAATGTCTGTCAAAACTTTTGAAAAGCAAACAGTAGCGAGCCACCACACATGTAAAGCTCACTCGCCTTCCTGAATTGCAACAACTATACCTACTACCACAGGTACTACCTATTTCGTCATGACTATTTTACTGACCTAGTAAAAATCGTCTTCGAACTGGACTTAAGAAATAAAAGTTATAAATTGTAACTTATTCAAACGTACTTACATTACACGTGATACCGATCCAACATACCAATCTCTATTGTCATGTATCGAACCTTTGATGTTTGTACGGATTATGTAATAAATAAATGTGTAAAGCTTACCTTATTTAGATACGAAATATTCCGTCCTTTCAAAGACTACAATCCACGGAAAAGCCCTTTTTGAGGTTCAGACTGGCTCTCCATTCCTCCCGTTTCATAGAAAGTTTCGGCTTCAAGAGCGGTTTGAACAAATCTATTCCAATCTAAATACTATTTTTAGATCCTAGATTAAATGACAGATTCCGCAAACTTATATTTTGTTAAAAAGCTCTTTGAAACACAATTTTAAACCTGTCTTATTAAATCACCATCAAATTAATTGGATCAATTTTGTGCGATATTTTAATTTCACATTTTCCCCTAATATTAAAAGTTTATCCTACAAAAGACACCTAACAATTTAATTTAATTATGAAATCTTGAATGGAAGAATTTTTCAATTAAATCACATAACTTTCTAAAAAGCGAAATTTTGGCGGAACAAACAATATAGAAATACCCATAACATAAGAAAGCACAATTGAAAATATTAAACAATCAAGATAGGCAGCCATTGTTAGCGGCGCGCGCCCAAACATCATTACCGTCCGCGAAAGTCTCCGCTTACACGAGAAGAAAGCGCGCGCAGTACGCAAATACGATTATTATCACAATATTTTGTTTATTGTTTACTTCAATCGCATTGTTCCATCTTTATGACGACATTTCATATCAAATGAAAACGGTGAAAGCCGGAATAAACTGCTAAAATTACACTTATTTCACGCAGCGGCTGCAAACTTTTTCTAAAAATGCTAAGTCGTGAAAGCAATTTGTATTCTTATTACGAATGTCATCAAACTTACCATCGCCTAACAAACCCATTGTTTAAAAGAAATCTCAAAAAATCATCTCAAAGCTGGTATAGAATAACGAAGCGTAATCAATTAAGAAGAAACTAATGAGTTCATTAACTAACAGACAGTTATACTAATGATCACCAATTTGCAACGACTTGTTAGATAAATAAAAAGATTGGTAAATAAATTAAGTTCATCTCTGATTAATCGCATACAGATAATAACGGCTACCATAAATTTTATCTTTCTGTTGATTGAAATAAAGATCGCTTATTAAGACTGATAGTGCTTTGAAAGCAATAAAAAAGATTTAAACTGAGTTCTGTCAACCAAAAATCACGTTTCGAAGAAACTCTGGACTCCATTGAACCCGTTTAAGGTTTGGTTCTAATAAAAACTGAATTGAACGGAAATGAAATAACGCTAACCGGTTTTTCTCCGGTGCGTCGGGAGCAAGGCCTGAGCTTCTATTATTTTTTGTGTCGCGCAGGCTGCGGCTTTCTTTATATTATGCAGGTATAAGGATGACTGGTCAGTTGAAACTCTTAAATACTCTTAATTCTAAGCCATCGTCATAATTGTCGCTAAAATTGTAATTCTAATCTACCTAAAGTGTAAACCTGCGGCTTTATATTTGTACCTGCCTTATTTTTGAGGTGTCATAATAAAGTGAAACAAAATGTACAGTTCAAAATCGCCTTTTTAATTTTTCTTTCATTTAACTTCTAAACTCTTTTTTCGAACATAAAATTAACACATTCATTAGTATCGTACATCAAGTAACATTGATCGTGCATTACAGTATAGTAATCATAACGTTACTATCAGAGGCTTTTAACATCTTTGGATAGTTAGAACATGTCTTTCTTACACTGTAGATATTATTTATATTTATTTCATGCAACATCTTACCAGAAATTTAACAATCACGATATATTTTATACTCAATATTTTAAATAATTTGGCGATCATAAACAATACCTTCCATATCACGTATAATTTACACTTACATCCTTCAACTAATCAGTCGCGGACCCATCACATTGGGATCCAATTCCCGTTATTTTTTATCTAAATAAATTATATAATACAAAAAATATTACACTAACAACCTGTGTAGGTATAGATTACACATACCATACGTATAGACGATTTCTAGCTTATAAGATACAAATGTACAATTGTGACATGTCGTTCAGATATGTAACAATGAGTCCGTTACACTTTAGACATCTGTAGCACAGCCGTCCTGGAAGCCCTCATCCGCGGAGGGCCTGGTGATGGTGAGCACGCGCTTGAGCGCGGCCACGGGCGGCAGCACGGGCGGCGCGCGCTGCCACACGCGCAGCGTGCGCGCGCCGCCCACCGGCAGCCCGTAGTCCGGCGGGTACGGGCCCTCACCCGCCGGCGCCGGCGACGCCGGGACCGCCGCCACCGCGTGCGACCGCGGAAACGTCCTGCTCATGTACCCCAACTCCTCCTGAGAACCGTCCACGCTGCAGTTCTCTATGATGGGCGTTCGATCATTGTAGTACGCCGGTATTGCTGAGCTTATCGCGCGAGAGAGATTGCCCGCCTGATTCATTTTCATTTGGTCCCACAGACCAGAAGGGTATAATGAGTCTGAGGCCTCGCGTGCGTACTCTCCGCTCCCTGGCCTCGCAGCGCTGTCAGGCCGCGTGTCATTGATAAGATCGGGGTCAATACTCGCCGATACTGTAGGAGATACCACCACCGGCCCACCGGCAGTTACGACACTTCCTCTGCCTTCGTAGTGATTGGTAGTGTACGGAATGTCATTAGCTCTGGGTGGCTTTATAACTGGATTACATTTAGGATCACTGTAGTTGTTGGACTCCTGTCTGTTAGCCAATACTGCGACATGTGGTCTATCTGTCGTCGTTGGGTGCACTTCGTTTCCAGACACGACACGGTCTAATGTATTCGGCGTTTTGCTTTCGCAAGCGGGGACTGGTCGAAATCGCACGAATGTAATAAGCAGTGCTAAAGAGACGACAACAATGATCAAAAACAATGCAGCTCCCAAGCTTGCAATTTGTGCGCTTCCCAGTGATGCCATTCCAGCAGGCATCTGGGTCACGTGTACTGTGAAATTGGCTTCGGCATTTCCACCTTTGTTTTCTGCGACACAATAAAATTCACTCGAGTCAGATTCTTGTGTATTGGTGAGTATTAAAATAGACTTCTTCTTGACATCTCCTTCTTCAAATATATGTATTCTTTGATGGCTATTAAATGTGCTTCCATTTTGCAGTAACCTCCCATTCCAGTACCAGTTGATATTTGCACTAGGCACAGCTTCCGTTTTGCAAGTAACAGTAGCGTTTTCCCCTACACCGGCCTCAATGTGTCGGCTTACCGGCAAAATTTCCGGTTTACACGCAAACTCTTCAATTGGTAACTCTGAAAAAGGTCGATTGGCCAGCCGCGTAGGCGCCGAGCAGCTTGGAGTAGTTAGTAACTTATGTTTTGCTAACCACAACTTAAGTTCTCGAAGACGACAATCACAAGTCCATAGATTATCTGATAACTCGATCGCTCTAAGCTTCTCTATTTTCTCAAGAGAACTCAACGGCAAATCACGAAGTTTGTTGTGATTTAGTTTCAGTGACTCTAGTGACCGCAAATTTCTGAATGCATCTGAAGCAATGTCTCTAATGTCGCATCTCGACAAATCTAGTTTAACGACACTTCCAAGATTACTCAAAGCATTTGAGTGAACTTTTAGTATTGGATTTTGAGCCATCGTCAAATCCCTTAGGAAAGGAGCGTCTTTGAAACTGTTTGACGGTATTTGAGTCAGTAAATTGTGTGAAAGATCTAACTCAACTAAATTAGTGAGGCCTTTAAAAGCTCTATCATGTATTTGGCCAATATTGCAATTCCGTAGATAAACTCTTTGTAAGTTAACGAGTCCAGTTTTAGCAAAAGCTTCTTGAGGAAGTATCTGCAAATTGTTTATTGATAAGTCTAAGACCTGCGTGGCTGGGTCCACAGGCTCGGGCACGGTGATGAGCGCCCGATCAACGCACTCCACGGTCTGCTTGCCGCCTTTCCACTTGCATGCACACACAGCTGGACAAGATCCGGGAGGCGCTATGCCAGCTAAAGTTGTTTCCCACAGCATTACACTAATCGTCACTATAAACCACCTCATTTTGATTCAATCCAATATAAGTTCGATGGTAACTTTCACTTTAACATAATTGTCCATTTAACGTCACTTTCAAACCATCACTAAAATCCACAGTTATTAAATCCTTAGTAAAATGTTGGTTCTGTATTCCGGCATCGTATCACATCACAGATCGCGAAAGTTGGCAACCGGCACATGACGGCACGTCGCGCGCTCGCGACGGCTGTAAATCAACTGCTGAGAGGGAGGGATCGTCGGCTCGTCTCGGTAGAGAGCTCGACGCATGCGCGTTGGCGGCGCCCCTCGCCCCTCTCTGCGGCTTCACCCAACTGCCGAGTTGAGTAGCCATGCTCGAAGGGAACTGTTGAAAGAATTCCAAAAGTGTAATTTTGTACCTGGCTGTGGCTGTGGGCACGGCCGAGCATCCCGCTCGCCAGAGCGTCACGTTCATTCATAAATACCTGAGCCGCGGGGACGATAGTTTCAATACGGACCGGAGAGGCAACAATGGTATTATGCCCGCTCGGCTGCGGCACGCAAAGCGCACCGATTGTTATACAATACACATCTTTTTGTTGCGATCACGTCTGGGTAGGGCGTCAGGTACACAACTAATTATGAATAGGAAGATCAAAGCGGTAGGCAGGTATTCGCCAACAATAACACAGGATGTGTCGCACAAAGACTACGACATTTTCATTCATAATTTCCTTGAATGAATGTAAATAGTAACTGACATTTTAAAATTGTTTGTACTATTCAATGAATGAGTACTGCACTAGTGGAATGCTAGCAAAAGGTACTTAAAGTAGGTAGTCGAATTTCGGTTAAGAGTTCCCAAGATAACAGTTATTATGGCTGTCATGTAAAATTTCTGATGTCTTTCTCTCAATGATGAACTAATTTACATTATTAACAACTTCCATCCTACTACTTGGGTAGTGTATTGATAACAGATTCCCAGAAAGTTACATATCTATAGGATATTGTTTTTTCAGTGATGATTATAATAGACACATTCTGTAAAATCATAGAAGTTTCATCCTGCACCGAAATTTTGCCATAACAAAGGCCATTTAAGCTACTTTACCCACAAGTTATATTTAGATGAACATGATTAGTTTTGGTAACTGATTAAATGCACAATCCGTATGGACGAATAATTCGAAATAATCGCTATTTACGCATGCAAATAACCTAATGAATCTCTGATGTGTGTATTTGGTTTGATTTTAGATTTAAGCCAAAAAACACTTTCAGCTATAAGATCTACTTTGGTTAAATGCTAAGGACATGAAAAAAATGCATATTAGTAATAATAAAACAGTTTCTAGGTCAGTCACTGATCTCTGCATTGTCCATCTATATCAATTAAAAACATTTTAGCCAAGTTGTAAACAAAGTCTCTCAGGAGATCTGAAACAAAGGCCGGCTGTGGCTATTTTTAGATTCAGAAGCTGCATTACACCGCGGATGTTCGGAGTCGATGGTTAGACATAATTTAGCAGATGATGGGTATGCGATAAAATTACTGATTGCTGGCACGCGGCTGGCACACTCTGCCGTGTGCCATGTGCCTGTCAGCTGCCGGCCCACCTGCCGCGGGGACTCCGCGCCTCTAGGGCTTCCACTCCAAGCTTTCTAATAATATTATGGAGACACCGGGCGCAATATGACGTTCTAAGCCTGAACACACCGAAGCCGCACATTTTTCGTTTGTAAACACACTTTGAACCACGAATAAAGGCACCAGTATAAACAACGTAATCTCCTTACAAGCATTTCGTTTGGCCCGTCTATACAGCGCACGTTTATACAGTTGTCGCCAGCTTAAATTCTCGACGAACGAAATTTTTGTTTATAAATTTCTTCCAATTTAATGCCATTGAAACCGACCGGCTGTTGCTCAAAATACTTCCCATTGAGCAACGCCGGAGGAACATCTTTGAAAACATAATTATCATCACATTCAACATACGAACTATCTCATAACCGCTCCGAAAGTTGTTATGATAACAGATGAGTTTAATGTAAACGGAAGCCATCGGTAGTGTAAACTTTTATTGTTATTCCTGATTTTTATTCAAGAGTTAAGTTTGTCTCATTGCATACCTATCTTTATTTATTCATGCTAAAGTTTTATTTAAGTCACTGTGTTTGTTATCTTATTCATACCATACAAAGACAAGACAGATGGAACTTTAATTGCAGACATAGATTTTGTCAAATCCAGCGAGCAAAGCTAGTTTAAAATACTAGTAGGTAAATGATTCGCTAGTAACATAGGTTTACCAATGAAAATACCAATGCAAACTTGTAGACTTTCTAGTTTCCAACATATTTCAGTTATTAATAACACAATTGCCCGAGAGTATTGTATCTTCTATAATGAGCACCTAGATCCAAAATGTCAAGGCGTTCACGCGCGGCTGGACAAAAGTGTCGCATGAAGATGTAGAGCATGAGTCGCAAATGAATAGAAATACGTTCCATGCTTATTTGGGTCTCGCTATGACTGTCAGCAGGCGACTAATACGGTTGTGCGACAGACCTCTCACCGGATAGCTTAATAAATAACTGTTTAGAATAAAACATTATTTATTGAGTCACTTTCTGCTAAAAAGGTGCGCCTGTTCTCGCATTGGCGAAGGCATGCGTCAACTATTTCGTTGCATCGTTTGGTTATGACGTGTTACCGGATTTTTACAACTAGGTATTTTATTGAGACAACGCCGGTGCATGCATTATAACAATAACTACAAAACGTACCGACTGTCGCAAACAAGGATCTAGCTTGAGCAAATTTTTAATTTCACATTGCAGATCAATTCAATCAGAAAAAAACATAATTATCTTTCGCAGTCATAGAATTTAAATAAGTATTAATTTTCATAAAATATTCACACAATGTGAAATAGAAATAAACACAAAAGCTTATTTAGACTACCCAACTGTATAAACTTTGAGACTTATATTGATGTCTATCTATTATTTTTCTTTCTTAACTCTACGGCTCATTCATTTCATCAATAACGTAAATTGCTTTTGGTGTAGCGCAAATTGTGCTGCGTATCTACGCTGGTAACTTTAGGCTCCACTTGATAAAAATATCTACAATTACAAAATGAAACACATTAATTTCATGTTCTGCTTTTATTTAATTACCGGCAGGTTGTATATAAAGTCTAACGTAGCTCCTTCATTACTGACTAAACAAGAAAACCATTTGACACGTAAATCCCCTAGGAGCGGAGAAAATGGGGATTAAAGTTTTAACTTCACACGAAGGAAATCACAGGCTTTAATATAATAGATTGATTATAATAAATAAGTAAAGAAATAATAAAATGTAGAGACCTTATAAGACACTAAAAATAAGAATGTTACGACATCTCAGAACTTACCATTCTTTCGTTAGTATTGAATAAAACCCGTTCATGATTTAAAGGTGGTCTTAAACGAGTCACACACCGCACTCGACCCACCTACGCATTCTACACATGTTCTCATACAACCATAATAAAACTAGTTTGAATTTCCTTCAGCTGTATTACCACGGCTGAGTAGCTTCGAATTATGTTGAATTATTGCTAGAGCTTTATATTTGTACATTTATTTTTTTCCCAGGCTCCTTAATGAGCACAGCGTCGGCAATAATTAACGGTTAAACGGGCGTCCCAATTTAATGGTTATGAGCTAGTTCCGGCGGTCAGCGTCCCGCTACTTATTGTGTGCAAAACATTTATTCGGACAGCTCTGAACGATGATACAATTAAACACGTTTCTTGCCCAAAAGAGCTCAGCGCGGACGGTGACTCAGGCGCATAAAACCAACTTCGTTCTCCCTGACTCACGCATATCGCTCTCGATTGCATTATTCTTACACCCACAGCTTTTGCGTTACTTACCACATCGAATTTTTTATGTAGATGGTCACTGTCATATTGTATTGTAGGCCGATGCGCTCATTACCACGGATAACTTATACTGTGGGAACATCGAATCTAAAAAACGCGTTTCCACACTACTAGCGCTCTACAGTATTCGTTGATTTAACAATAATTTTGCACCCATTAGTTCCACCAACTTAATGAGAAAATTATCAGATGTCATTAAATTCATAAAAAAAAAAGTCAAAAGTCAAAATNATTGTTTTCTCGTGCGGTTTTGAGTAGTTAGTGTGTGAACGTGTGATAGTGAGTGTGGTAATAGTGAGTGAGTGTTAGGAATATGCCTAACCAACCATACGTACAGTGTTCGTGAGTAGATACGTAAACATGGTATACTGTTAAGTACGGGCTATATTACCAAAAAATTTATCAAAAGCTTCCGCTACATCTTTATCTGCAGATATCAAATTATCGTGAACTTTGAGAGAAAAGTCATTATCTCTTGGTTTTAGTTTACCAGTCTCTCGGTTGATAACATTCCAAGTTTCTTTTATTTTATTACTGGCGTTCCCTATCTTGTCCCGAATATAAAAAGACTTAGCCATGAAGCAAACTTTCTTAAAAATTTTTGAATACTTTTTTACATGCTCAAGAAAAGATATACTATTATTATACTTTTTCATGCCATAAAGTTCATATAACGTATTTCGACTTTTGTATATTCCCTTAGTAGCCCAGTCACTAAACTTAGATTTGGTATTTGGTTTTAATGGCTTTACCGTAAAAACTTTGTCATATACATTTTATAAGCAATTAATAAACTTCTACGCCAATGGACTTTAGTAAAATTAACGCAGTCATTATTTTTATTCAAAACTCCCTGGATTATTGTTATCGCTGTTTAGAAACGATTTCGGAGATTAACAAAGTAATTTGATTTTGTATGTGAATAGGGCACCCAATGCTAAAGTCTTTTTGTTAGCCAATAAATATTCAGTAAAGAAGCTTCGAATTTAAAACAATGGTTCCAAAATACGCATTAATTATTGCATCTGCGGCGTTTATCCAATTCGGGATCAGGTATCATCCGAGCGAAGTTCATTTTATTGTTTTTAACGGCGTGGACCGAGCGAATATTGCCTGATAGACCCGTCCTGAGGCCATTAAGGCTCAATAACTGCCATTTGACGCATACCATTCTAAATTTCGGCATTGGGGCATGCTGAGGATAATCGGAATAAGTAGGCAATTTTAGAGCACCCCATTTTAGATCTGAGGGCAAGCGGCGAGATAAGGCCGGTAACGGCGCCACTCGGTAAATTAAAAAGCATGGACTAACTTCGGCCGCGC